GTTAATGCAAGGAAAAAGCACCAACTTTATTCCTAATATCCAAGTATCATCTGTTAAGTTGGGAAATTATTTAAATATAAATGTACTTATATAGATATAGATTTACAGATTAATTCTAAGTAACACATTAAATAAAAGGTAGCATTTTGAGTAAAATACCGTCATGACAGTCTCTTTTTTCATATAAGGTTCACAAGACTAATGCTGTGCTTTATGCCACGAATAATGAAAAACATATTCTATAATTTGGAATATTTTATTTGTTACCTGACGGTTATTATCTGAATATTATTTTATGAATCTTTCAGACATTCTACATTCAAAAAATATTTAGCAAAGAGACAGTTTTAATTAGATTTTATAAGCAGCTCTTTCAAAACATTTGTTTTTCCTGTTTATTTAATTAGAAAAAGAAAAACAACTTTGCATTAAGTAGATGATTAGCAAAGTAAACGGAAGCTCAGGCCTTGTGTCAGGGACCTTTGACTTTCCAAGTTTGAATGCAGATTTCAAGGGGCAACTATTTGATTTTTACAACTTAAATCTGTCATTATTTTTTTGGGATGTAGAAAATATAAAACCGACCATGAAGCAGTACTTTTAAAACATTTGATTTTTAATTAAAAAAAACAACTTAACAAAAACATCACTGTTTGTGTTATTTACAGAAAAGAAGTGTTGGTTTGTGCAAAGCGGAGATTTAAGGTGTCAAGGTTTCCAAGTCAGAACTCGGTTTAGGACCGATTGAGTCTTGCTCTCTTCAGATGGCTATTACAGTACAGAATGTTCTGTCTGTTTTAATAAGAACTCCTTTTAGCTGTTTTTAGATCAATTTATATCCTTTATCTGATGAACCAAAATGTTTTCCCCAGATTTATGAAGGAGGATACCACGCTCTTCATCACGACCTCCCAGAAGTGGCCGAGTCTGTGCTGAAGGAAGTGACGAGCTGGATCACAGAGCGTCTCCCCGCGGCAAAGACGGCACAGCAGCAAGGCCTGTAGATCTCAAAGAAAAAACGGCAAAAAACAAAATAACTCAGTCAGCGCTCCAAGGAGACTTCCAAACCTTATCCCGCCAGGCCCCGCATACTTTTTCTGAAGCCTGTGAAACGTAACAGTCTTTCCTGTCCAAGAAAGACATTTGGGCTTAATGATGGACTTTGTGTTCTCTATATGAAGGGTTTATTAATCTTCTTTAAGTGGATGATGCTAACACACACTTTGATTCTAGAAACTCAGCAGCAGTAGACAGTTTCCAAGCAGAACCTTCAATCAGGGATGTTCCTCACATAATCCAGCCGAGGGGTGTGTGTGTTTTTTTTTATCATCTCCTATGCTGCTCAAGTGAAGTAGAAATCAATGTAAGCTATGGTTCTAAGTGCAATAATGAGATTTTCTTTTAGTATTTACAGACATGGTATTTTAAATGCTATTAACAAATATAACACAATACTTCACTGAGTTGAAGAGAAAGTGTTTCCTTTTCCTTCTCAAAAATTACAGGTGAAAAGTTCAGAGGTCAGAACGATCAGTCTGACCACAGCTCAAGCTGACAATAGTTTAAACCGCTGATATTCCAACATAAACACTATTATTTTCCTCCGGACCTTCATTTACTTTTTTCATCCCAGTCATTTCTTTATCATCTCTTTATATTTCTAAGAAATGCTGTCAAGCCAGTCTAATGAATAGCTAAAAATAAATGCTTATAAACATTAAAAAGCCATTTTTTAGGCTTATAGATTTACAGACCCATTTAAGGCCACGGTTGACTTCATTGTTAGAGATTCATATATCATCTGTTTGGTGAATACAGACTACCTTAAAGTGTTGAAATAATTTGTAGACATAAAGCTGTAACAGTAAAGAAGCAGCAAACAGAGCAAATTACAAACATAAACTTAATTTATTGGAATTTCATGTAATAAAGCAAAATGGTTGTGAAGATGAAGGAACGTGAAAAATCTGCAGCATATTTGCACAATTCATTCAGTCACTGCTGGGTTAAAGTACCTTTTTTGTTTTAAAAGAGCAGATCTTTTGAGGTCACTACCAGCTTTTCACATCTAAAGATTTTAGATGTAGCTTTTACTTCCCAATATAGGTCTAGTTTAGACAGACAGAATGGAAACTGACTTTGACTAGGCCATTCTAACCAATAAATTGAGGTGGACCATTATACTGTAGCTCCGCCTGCCAGCTTCCCTAAATGGTGAATGGAAAAGTCCACTTGTGACTTCTCTTATAGTCTTTCATTAATGATTTCTTCTTACTAATTTTGCAGATCAGACAACTCATAATTGTCCTGCTCACAAACTGTACCACCTGAGCTGCAGATCTCTACAGCTCTTCTAGAGCTGCTATGGGCGATATTGTATAAATTTCCTTGTTCTTGATGATGCTCAGCATCATTTTTTATTCTCCACCAGATGTGTTTTAATTTCTTACTAAGTTACAGAGAGATGGACTATTTACCATTAAAGGCATTGTTTATTTAGGAGTATCATGCTAAAGGGGGTGGAGTATCAAAGAATGCTTGGATATTATGATAAACTTCCAAGATGCTTTTAATTTAGTACTTCAAAATTTAAAATATCCAACCTTATTTGAATATAAAGAAAGTCTAGAATGATGTGTTGTATCCTGGGTTTTGAATGCTAAATAGTAGTGATTATAATCATTGTTTTAAAAATGACTTAATTGTTACCTACTTTACAGCTTTAGTTGAAGCGCTGATGGAGGCAGCCGTCTACTCTTGTTTTTCTGTCAAACAACGGTGTGGCTCCCTGAAGTCAACCATGGCCTTAAGGACCTAAGCAATAATGTCACAGCGCTTTTTACTTTTGGTAGCTCTTTAATTATAAGCCAAACAGACAAACTGCAGCGTTTCATCCTGCAGACTGTAATTAGCAGCTATTGCTACCTGTTGGTTTGATGCATTCAAAGTGGAGAAAACCTTTTAGAAGTCAGAGCTGTTAGCGTGGCTCCAATGTCAGCATCACAGTTAGATCCTTTTTGATATTCACAGCCAACCATTTATAGATGTGTCTTTTTGAAGGTTTTTATGTTCATTATCACTCTGTCTTTTTTTATGATTTTTAAATGAATGCAAAGAGTTTAGAGGACATTGTGTGCTATCCAAGGTGAATGAATGCCAGGTTGATCTGCAGCAGCAGTTTTGTTTTGTTTCACAAGTGCAGTCACCAGGGGGGATCCCTGCAAAAGTGAAAGAAAGGCAGGAATCTCTGGCTTCTGCACGCCTTTCTAACTTTCTGTCTCCTCCGGTCTTGCCATGTTTTACTGTCAGCTGCTTCTGCCTTTTGCTTTTCCCTTTCATGTTCCTCCTCTTCTCTGGGGAGGGGGTTACGCGTTCTGTCCATCACATACGCCGTTGCTCTGTTACTGATTCATACATCTTGTCCACAGACACCCACACCATCACACACAGGGAACTATTGTAGCAGGAACAGGCTGCAGGATATACTGTGGAGATGTTTTGCCTTTAAGAGCTTCTTTTGTTCTGTGAGACATGCAACGTTTCTAAACCTGTAGTGGGTTAGCTCAACTACACACTCCAAAAACAATGTAGAAATAGGTAGTAATTTCTTAAATTAATTGTATTTGCCCTTAATTTGAGTAGGTAAATAAGATAATTTGCAAATGGAATGAATATTTTCCTCTTGAAAAAAGATAATTTGATTTTATGCATTTGAAATAAGACAATGCAATTGTTTTTTTCTTATTTTAGATATCAATTGTATTGTTTATTTGCAAAGTGTCTCATTTACCTCCTCAATTCAAGAAAAAGGCACTTATTTTAAGAAAACATTACTTATTTAGATTAAATTTTTGCATTGCACCGTCCAATTTTGTATTGTAAAATCGCCTGTTTACAGGAGATTCATTACTTGTTATCACCATGAAAGTGGACTCAGGAAAAAGTGCAAAATAGGAAGTGTTTGCTTCTATCTTTATTATCACAGGCAGAAGATTTATTCCCAACCTGCTTTCCCCATGAGTGCGGATATAGATAGAAATCTAATGTATTCCTGATTCCCAGCAGGATTCAGACCCTTAACCCCAACCAGAACTGTTTGCACTTCAAACACAATCTCCTCCTGATTAGGCAGCAGCAGACCCAGAAGCACACAAAGCCTTCCCGCTTTCCACTTGTATTCCAACTCCTAATGGCTCCGCTGCTGCACGGCATCAGCACCATGGCCACAGCTCACAGAGTAATTTAAACAAAAAAAATAAAACCTCTACCTGATAGACTGCATGAGTAGATATTACTCTCTGTTGTTTGCTTCGAGGATGGAGAGAGAGATGCAGCGAGAGGAAGGAAGCTGACAGTAACCATGGCAGCACTTTCTGTTGTTTTTTTTTGTGTGTGTGTGAAATCACTCAGTAAAAATAAATATCCTCTTTAATTTTGTGGAGGGTCTGGCACTAGAGGGTCTCGGAGCTTGTTGTCCATTTGCTTCTCTGAGGATTCCCTGTTTGTGTGAGTGTTGAGATAAGAGTCTAAAGCATCATCAGCTCACAGTGAATACCAGGAGCTGTGTGCACTGAATCCTAAACAGCACCCTTGGACACCATTTGCGTCTCAAATGAGAAGCGTTGTTTGGACATTGTGTGGTTTTTATTTCCTTTCGTCACATACACTGACAGATCTTATCCGTACCCATTCAATGTCTGTTGAATAGTGGAAGAAATAAGGGGAAATTTGCCACTTTTGTTCCTTTTTTTTCTAACAATGCACAATTTCTGACTTCACACTTTTAAATCTTTGTTTTGTGGTCAGACTGCCTACACAAAGACAGCCATGCGGAAATGTTCAGTTAATAACTGATAATCCTTACGACTGTTCAGATACTGAGTTAGAACAGAACAGCTCTATATTAAGTAACTGGAAAAGAAAAAGGGCAGCAAAGAGCTGAATCCAAATTGGGCTGCAGCTTTTTTAACAAAGCCAGATTCATCCTGCCTACTAGTTTATCAATAGGGTCATTGTTCCTGTTTGAGTTTCTTCTTTTATGACTTTAAGACTGTTTCTATGAGGGAGCTGTTATTTATGACAGTGGAATGAGGGGCAAAGGACAATATGTTTATAGTTTTGTGAGAATGATGTGTTCTGGGAGACTTAAGGAATGTTTGGAGGAAAGAGATAATTGGGTTTTTTTTGGGTTTTTTGCAATTAATTTTTTTAGGAAAGGTTCTTAGCAGTTCCCAGCATAAATTATCCTATTGATGTTTCAAAACTCAACTTAGTTTGTCGTGCTGGTCTCAGCAACAGCTGATCTCAGAGGGAACTAAGAACAAAGCAGACTTCCACAATACTCAGCATGACTAGTTTCAAAAATGCCAAAGAGGTTTATTCTAATCCGGACTCAGTTATGACCGGTAGTGGCCAGGGGTTCAAACAGGGTGCTTAGTTCCTGTAAAGGCTGCAGGTTTCACAAGTTGCACTTTGCAAATGTGCATAAACAAAAAAGCGTTATTATTATTATTAACATCATTAAAATTATATTGTGTGGCACTACTTGGGACCACAGTTCAAGAGAGTTAGAAATGGGACCTACCAGTATTGGCAGCTTAAGCAGATAGACACTTTTTAACATGAAAAATTCTTCTTAAATAAAATTTTTTTGGATACATTAATCTTTTACTGTTTTTTCTTTGCTTTACTTTAACTTCTAAAGCAAATTAGATCAAAAGTATCCTTCTGCCAACACTGTTTTACTGCATTATCCCTGATAAATAAAGCATAGTATTACAATAAAGATGCTTAATATAATAATTTTTGAAATAAAAATAAATATTATTTTAAAATAATTTATGGACCTATATGCCTTTCTTTAAGCTAAAAACATGTTTTCCCCCAAAACGGGTTAAATAGGAAACCAGTTGACCCACAACTTAGCAAGTGAGATGATGGCAAACATCTTAGAAACATTCAGATCTACGATAATTTACAAAAATATGGTTTGTTAGTTTTATTAGAGTTCTGTTGGTTTAGTTATTTACAGAGGAGCAAAATATTTTTAGATGGGGAATGGAGGCAGTAGGTGGTGCAGCACTATTTCTCTTCCTGTGGGAAACAACTGGAAAATGGAACCTTTATGGCAAGAAAGACTAAAGGAAAACGTAAAGAGGGAAAACTGTTCTAGCAGTTTTAGTAAACAGTTTGTCCGTTTTTCGTCTACACTGCCCCAATGTAATACCTTTTAATATGTTCAGTTCATTTTTTTAGGCAGAAAGGAGGAAATTCAGAAAAAATATATAGAAAAATAAGAATGGATTTCATGGGACCTTATTAATGTTTTCTACCGTCTAAGGTTTCTGTTTGGATTTAACTCCGACAATAAATGCTTTACATCAATTTCATGCAGGAAGATCGGTGGTACACCAACACCAACTCTAGTTTCTCTTTAATTAGTAATCAGCTTACTTATAAATAACCAGCCAACACAAACATAATGATGGTTTAAAGGGTTTACATGCATCTTTGAAACTGGAGTCATGAAGGTGTGGTCTGTGCTGACCTCCTCTCCTAATTGTTAACTTCAAACCTTTTCTAAAGCATCTCTCCTTAAAATCCTGAACTATCCCTGTAAGCTCATGTTGCCATGCTCAAGCTGTTCATGAGATTTCAATCGATCTTCTCCAAAATTCTGCAAGTGTAAAAAGTTAAATTAATGCTTGCCAGTTTAACCCGTGCCTTGAAAGAAGCATGGTTAAACTAGGTAAAGGGTGAATAATGAGTTTGGAAAGTTGCTTTTATTAAGAAATGTCTTACAATCACTATACAGTAATATTGTATTAATAACACTTGACATAAAATAAATCATGAGTGTATTGTATTTTACACACTTTTTATTTATCTCGAGTAGTGTATTATTAGAAAAAAAGCTTTATGTACCAGCATGTATGTATTTGTTATACAATGTCAATGCATGTTTTAGACCATAACCTGTTCAAACATGCTGATGTTTACCTATATTCCTCTTTTAAAGATGTATTTATGTTGTCAGCAACAAACATTTGTTTTTCTAAGATTCATACTAAGAACAATTTAGTCTTCTATGTTTAAGATGTTTAAGTTTAAGATGGCTTGGATGCAAACTTTAACTACTGCCAAAAGGTTTTACAAGAGCTTTTAACATTTTATCAGAATCAGAATCAGAATCAGAAATACTTTAATAATCCCAGAGGGAAATTACTTTTGTTACACGCTCTAGTTACAGTTTTACATGATATATACACATGTTTTGTCTTTTACTTTTAAGATTATAATATTTAAGGGTTATCTTTAATCTTTTATCGCGTTACAAAATGCTTTTTTATTTCAGCAGAACTGAGAGTAATCCAGAATATTAAGCACTTATCAGGACAAAGGAAAGCTCCAATTTAATACCCTTAATACACAATTTTAAAGTTGTTCATACTATATATATATATATTAAAAACTTAGTTTTATCTGTGTTGTTTGTGCCTTATTACCGATGAATGTGAATACTATAATTTTCTGCCCGTATTGAACTGTAAGTTAGCTTGAGATGGACCGATCAAACTGCCATTCAGACAATTTTCCCTGATTGGCTCATGTTAGTGATGTGCAGCCAGTTATTTTTTTTAACTCACCAAAACTAAGAAATTACATGACCCATTCGGATACACTTTTATTTTTTAAAATGAGATACCCTGATCCAAAATCAATCAGATTTCTTCTTATTCTAATTCAAATATAGCCTGAATAAAGGAATCTGCAGCATTATTTGTATTTTCTTTTTTCCTATAAACTAAAACACATTTTTAAATCTGGGAAATGGGAATCAGCAGTTTAGAATCAAAATCATTGCTGACCAGAGTGTACCTAATAGATGCATTTCTTCTTTTCTGACGACTGCTATTTTATTCATGTGCTTGTGTTCCCTCTATCCGTCTTTTTTTTTATTTATGCCTATAAGTTAATTGATGAACAAATGAAATCAGATATCATTCAAAAATTGCTCTAATTAAAAAGAAAATGAATATTGTAATTGTAATTGACTAATATTGTAGGATAACTTTTTCTTATGTCGCTCCATACACGCATGTGTGCGCCAGTTCATTGAGCAGCCATCCATCCCACTACTTCCATTTGTTTTCTCTTGTTAATGTTTTAATTAAATGTTTATTTTTGCTTAAATTCAACAGTCTTTAACAGCTGTTATCATTATGTGCTTTTTAATTAACATGTGAAAGGAAGAAGTAAAAAGCAATATTGGCTTGAAGAATCTGCTCCAAAATATCGACAGCATATATCGGTTAGACTGAGCTCAAAATAATGGCATAATGGCCTTATTTTGGCCTTTGGTAGATCTTTTGCTGATGCAGCAGCATTTTTCAAAATCATATAAAATAGATCTGTCAGGTGTAGATTTTTTTTTTTTTTTTTAATGGAGCTTAAAGTACGGTATTAATTTGTATTACTGTTGGTAATTTTAATGGATTTGCACTTTTAACAGGAAAAAATGTCTCCTTTAACCCTACTGCTTATTAATATTTTGAACTTCTTTCTTCTCCTTCTGATGCATTTTTGTATGTCTACCAAGGTAAACTGAGCATTGTAATACAAAGCCTGCAGAGATTGGATTGTAAAGTGAGCATTGAGGATTGGACCATTAAGTCTTCCTTGTAAATGTGTCCATTTGTTTTAACAGGTTATAATATTCTAAAGCACAGTTTGAATATTTCACACTGGTATTCTTCAACGCCCTCTAAGCTGTAGTTCAGCTTAAATTCAGGTATTAAATCATTGTATTTTTCGCAGAGGGATAATCACTTTATTTAACAGTTTTCTTTTGTTTATAAGATGGTCATAGAATGTGGTTATTAAGATTTCTTCTGAATGTCAAACCACTTATTGCTAGACTGTTCACATTGTCTACATGTCTTGTAAAATAAACAACATGACTGTTTACCTGTGTCTGCTGACCTTTTATTAATCCAATTATCTTTCCTGTTTAAGTTCAACTGTTGGTTCAACATTGGTTTTTAAATCTACCATCAAAACTGGTTTTATGTTTTTATGAGTCAAAATGCTTTTTGTAAAAATGAAAAATATTTTTAAAAAGTCTTTAAGGGGGGATCCAGCTTTTGTCCTCGTCCTTATTCGATAAGAAGTAATTGTAGATAATATCTTACAACACTGTATTATTCGAAAACAAAATTTTATATTTTTTCCCAATAGGTTCATTATAATAGTTGAGAAATAGATACTTTGACCTTACAGGTGCCTAGGAGTGTCAAAATTTGCAGCAACTGGAATCGATTTTTACTTCTAGATGCAACACCTGTTTTTTCTTTTGGAAATACCTGCTTTTTCTGTATTTTNGGAGTGTCAAAATTTGCAGCAACTGGAATCGATTTTTACTTCTAGATGCAACACCTGTTTTTTCTTTTGGAAATACCTGCTTTTTCTGTATTTTACTTTCTTCCTTTTTTTTTTTTTTTTTTGATTGGCATTAACCAGTATTTAACATGCAAAGCAAATGTGTAAGTTCTCTGTCTTGATAAATGTAATTTTTTAAGATAAAACCCTTATCAGAGCCTCAAGCTTTTCAGAACTCTACACCCAATCTGATTCTGATCCATTTAAATTATCTGTTTAAAATCTTTTAAAAGTCATCAAAAGTCTTCCATCTATCTCCATTCCATATGTAACCTAAACATTTAAGGTACAAAACTATGCAAATACATTTGGCTCCAAAATACACAGCCTGGACAGATTGTGGTTGAAGATAAGCTTTTAAGATACTGTTTAAAACAGTACTCCAAAAATCTGTTTGCTTTTCTATTTCCTCAGGTTACCTTTAATGATTTTGAAATATGTTTGATGATTTTGAAGTTATAAAAGCAAAAGAAATCTGTGAGAGGGGTAATTTCACAGTGCTGAGTTGTTGTTGGTTTTTTTTCAGCAAGGTACCT